TTGGTAATATGTTTATTGTTTGTGATGTGTTTATATGTAAGTATTAACACGATGTACTGAACGGGGTGAGAATAGCTTGAGCTACCTCATCCCTTGGTGTGGATTTTACCTCAATAAACTTATTTCAATTTCAATTTGCAATTGCGTATTAATTATACCCCTACGTTCTCAGTGTGCAACCAGGCCTCTCGAATAGTAGTACATCATATTTTGACTAGTATAAATCACTCCCCCCTAAGGCTGTTGTGCTAGAAATCAGAGCTACGCGCAAATTGACATGATGTCCCGTGTTCTATGTGTGGGTCCTTGGTTAAGTTAGGTTCGGGCAAGTACATAAGATGTTGTGGGGGGGGGGGGGCGTTGTGAAGGCTGGAGAGGATGGGGCGCAGTGAAAAGAAAGAGAAAGAGTGTGTGTGCGTGTGTGTGAGTGTGCGCGCGCGTGTGGGTGTGTGTACGTGTGTGGGTGTGTGTACGTGTGTGGGTGTGTGTACGCGCGTGTTGTGCGTCTTGGTCCCATGGTAACTGGAGGCCGCGCAGTATGGAACAAACGCTGTACTGTTGCGCATACTACGCACAATACTTAAATGACGTCACATGCAACGATGCCAACCACTAGCATATTCCTTTTACCCTGAAAATATAACTACTTAACCCAATTAACAGCTTAGCAAAACAATTTAACAAAAGCCTAATAATGTGCATTTAGCGTCGAAATAAATTTAATAAGCGTCTAATTTGAAATTTATTAAACCACAGGAGCACGAACCTAAACTACACTTACCCTATCAATGCCAAATCATCATTCAGTCTGGTCTCTCCAGCTGTCACAACGTCACAAAAATGATGTACTAAATTAATTGAAGCTATTCTAGCCTAGCACCCATGAATACAAAATGGGACATCACGTTAACTTTTGTACGGGACATCACGTTAACTTTTGTACGGGACATCACGTTAACTTTTGTACGGGACATCACGTTAACTTTTGACTATTTGTACGGGATATCACGTCAAATTTTGACCATTTGTACGGGATATCACGTCAAATTTTGACCATTTGTACGGGATATCACGTCAAATTTTGACCATTTGTACGGGACATCACGTCAAATTTTGACCATTTGTACTGGACATCACGTCAAATTTTGACCATTTGTACGGGACATCACGTCAAATTTTGACCATTTGTACTGGACATCACGTCAAATTTTGAGCACTTGTACGGGACATCACGTCAAATTTTGACCATTTGTACGGGACATCACGTCAAATTTTGTACATTTGTATGGGATATCACGTCAAATTTTGCAAGCCGATGTGATCCATAATCCATCTTACTCTGACGTTGCCGACTTTTTACGTCAAAATATGATGTATTATTTCAAGGACAATTTGTACCACGCCCGAGGAACCTCTAAAATTTATTTTTTTATATTAATCCCGCTAAAGCGTCTCGTAACGTGATCTGAAATAGAGCAGTAACGTACCTGGCGTTTTGCGCCAATCTCGCATTAATAAAAAAAAACGAAAATAAAGTAAAATATAACTACTTGACCCTTTTACTGTGTGTCGATTGCGGGCAAAAAACAAGTGAATAAAAACTTTAAACAATATAACAAAAAATGACTAATTTTACACAAAATGATAAGTAACAATTAGTGAAAACAAAACCCCCTTATCCACCTGGCTTAAATACAATTAAAAGAGAAATATACACATGTGAATTTTACGTTAATAACAAAGGTGAAGGTAAAACTTTGTACAAAATGTTACGTGCGTCTACCGTCACCCGTAGGCGAGGATAGATACAGATGTAATGAGCACTAGAAGGGTACTCTGCTGTGCTGGATTGATTGATGAAGATTAAGCCACCCAAAAGGTGGCATGGGCATGAATAGCCCGTAAGTGGTGGCCCTTTTGAGCCATTACCAGTATCAAGAGCTGATACTGGAGATCTGTGGAGGTGCGACTGCACCCTGCGTGACGGGAGATGTCTCCCCCGTGCTATGCTGGACGCTGGCAAGCCTTTATATATGGGCTGTGACGTCATTCTGGCGCCAATGCTGAAGTTGTAGAGGAGAAGCCGGCAAGATAACGACCATGGTTATAGTTCGTCTGGCGTCGGGTGAGCTGGCGAGACTGCAGGTGCGCTGTCTGGCGTCGGGTGAGCTGGCGAGACTGCAGGTGCGCTGTCTGGCGTCGGGTGAGCTGGCGAGACTGCAGGTGCGCTGTCTGGCGTCGGGTGAGCTGGCGAGACTGCAGGTGCGCTGTCTGGCGTGGAAGGTAGCTAGGTTGGAGGGGGAGGGGACGGTGTGTGTACACAATACGTTTTGACACACAATATTGTTGTTGTTCATGTTGGCGCATGCTGATATTAAGGTGGTAAGGAGCAGGCAGAATCTACTGCTAGACAGGAGATAACCGTAACAGTTTCAATTTGTACGCTGGTGCCCAAGGCGTACAATCTACGGTGCATTTAAGTGTGTAGATGGGATGTCTTCACCGACAGTGAACTCGCTATAATTATCGTAGTCGGGGACAGGAAGCCTGAACCTTGGTTTACCGAGGTCTCCATAAGTCAACTTTCTACAACAACAAGGGTTCTCTTCGTTCGCCTTTCTAACCTTTCGGTTAGAAAGGCGGGTCCAAGAGCTAATAGCTCTATTCTGCAGGAACAATTTGTAAATATATAAAAACACACATATATATATTATATATATTATATATATTATATATAATATATATAATTATATATATATATATATGTATATATATATATATATTATATTATATATATATATATATATATATATATATATATATATATATATATATATATATATATATGGGCTCTCCATATATATATATATATATATATATATATATATTATATTATATTATATATATATATATATATATATATATATATATATATATATATATATATATGGGCTCTCCATATATATATATATACATATATATATATATATACATATATATATATATATATATATATATATATATATATATATGGGCTCTCCATATATATATATATACATATATATATATATATATATATATATATATATATATATATATATATACATATACATATATATATATATATATATATATATATATATATATATATATATATGGGCTCTCCATATATATATATATACATATATATATATATATATACATATATATATATATATATATATATACATATACATATATATATATATATATATATATATATATATATATATATATATATATATATATATATATATATATATGGAGAGCGAGCTTATCAAATGAACAAATCCACAAACTTAGAAATGATGAACTAAGAAATAAGAAATAACTACCATTGTATACAGACAAGAAGGCTGCACAAAGATTTTCCGAGGCATGCAGAACATTTTATAACGAGTCATGGAGACATTCCCCCGTAAATCCCAACATAGAAACCTGAAGTATTAATTGCTTTCCGCCTCGGAGAAGCCGTCGAGGCTTGCAGCTGGCAAGTGAAAACGTTTAGCGTTTGTTCTTTTGTCCCTTTGTAGCCGCGCCCAGTCATTAGCTACAAAAATGCATGTCAATTGGGGGTTTTATCATCAAATCATAGAAGGCGGGTGAGGGGCAGGGGGCTCTCCATCCTTTGTTACAGTACAAGGTCAATCTAGCACCCAATTCATTCCGGAGGACGTCGCCCGCTCGCATTTTAGCACTCTCCTGGGGCCTAGTTTTAAGTTTTGCCCCGAGGGGCGAATTTATTGGGCAGCGTCACTCATCCTGTGAGTGGACACACCGCTATAGTGACAGTATTGGGCAGCGTCACTCATCCTATGAGTGGACACTCCGCCATAGTGACAGTATTGGGCAGCGTCACTCATCCTGTGAGTGGACACACCGCCATAGTGACAGTATTGGGCAGCGTCACTCATCCTGTGCGTGGACACACCGCCATAGTGACAGTATTGGGCAGCGTCACTCATCCTGTGAGTGGACACACCACCATAGTGACAGTATTGGGCAGCGTCACTCATCCTGTGAGTTGACACACCGCCATAGTGACAGTATTTGGCAGCGTCACTCATCCTTGGAGTGAACACACTGCAATAGTGACAGTATTGGACAGCGCCGCTGATCCTGTGAGTTGACACCGCCATAGTGACAGTATTGGGCAGTGTCACTCATCCTTGGAGTGAACACACTGCTATAGTGACAGTATTGGGCAGCGTCACTCATCCTGTGAGTGGAAACTTGCGTAGTGACAGTATTGGGCAGCGCCACTCATCCTGTGAGTAAACACACCGCCATAGTGACAGTATTGGGCAGCGCCACTCATCCTGTGAGTAAACACACCGCCATAGTGACAGTATTGGGCAGCGCCACTCATCCTGTGAGTGGACACACCGCCATAGTGACAGTATTGGGCAGCGCCACTCATCCTGTGAGTAAACACACCGCCATAGTGACAGTATTGGGCAGCGCCACTCATCCTGTGAGTAAACACACCGCCATAGTGACAGTATTGGGCAGCGCCACTCATCCTGTGAGTGGACACACCGCCATAGTGACAGTATTGGGCAGCGCCACTCATCCTGTGAGTGAACACACCGCCATAGCAGCATATACAACACTCCCCAATAGGAAGAAAACCCGCTGGGTTGTTCCACGTTCCTAGAAATTGAGCAAATGTTGATTGAGCAAGCGAGATGACACGTCCTGCCCTGCTGGGTATTTCCTACGACACCTCTACATCTCCCACAACGTTCGCCAGTAACGTTACGTCTATAAACTGCGACAGCGAGACATCATTTGCATGACTTGTCCAAACTAATGGACCTCGTTCTAACAAACCTTCACCGGGGTATATATATAATCTCAATATACACTTTCCTATGCTCCTTAACGACACAGCCACTTGTCATACAGCACCTTCACCACTTTCCCTCTCCCCCAAGAGACTGGAGCGACTAGGCACTTACCTCATCGCGTGTGAAAGTGTTTCTAAGAGCCATATAACAATATGCTTTCCGGGGGCGACGTCACACTTCTCTCTCTCTCCCCCAAGGCCACCAGTATATACCCTTGACGGCTCCTCTAGCGACCCCTCGTGTCCACACACACAACTAATGCGTTAATCACACGTAAACAGACACGTGCCCTCCCACCCACCCCCCAAAACACAATTTTAGTGTCAACACCAGGTAAGAGCCCCCGGAGCGCAGCGTAGCGTCCTGGTGCCCGTCGAGGGAGCGACTGACAGCACTCAACCCACAAGCCCTGGCTTGGCCCCTATAGTTGTCATGTTCCCTCCTGCCCGCTCGCATAATATATATACAACTATAATATACTCTCTCTCCTTTTTTGTAACATAATTTACATTTTGAGTTTGTCTTTTCAACTCCCATCTGCCTTATCAAGGATTTGACTAGTGTCCAAGCGTTTATATACGTTATAGAACACAGAGAAGCATATACATGCATATATTTGCATATATATTTATATTTCAGAGTAGATACATCGAAAGTCAGTATTACTATATAGATCCGTTTAAGAGAATAATAGTTTTATAAATATACAATGGTACAGTAACGTTATTATGAAATAAATATAGTCAGCTGACATCAGCAGCTGCCACTGATGCCTGCGAGCGGGTCAAATATAATTACTACCATTACACACCCATCCCTCAACCTTCATGTCCTCCATATATAATATAATATATACGAGGACGGTTTTATTAATTTATAAATCAGAGTTTATTTTAAGCATCGAAATTGATCAATCATACCATGGCACATATAGTATGGCTAAAAAACTAAACAAAATAGTTATAAAATATCGCACTTGGCCGCCGGCAACACTGCAGCTCTAAGCTCCTCCCCCAAAAAAGCGCTGGTGCCAAGTCTCTAGGCGTAATTTAGTATAATTTACCTGAGTTTACCTGAGGGCCTCTCTCTCTCTCTCTAGTGGCCTTATATATATATATATATATATATATATATATATATATATATATATATATATATATTTACCCATGGCTAGTTTTTTTTTTATTACGTTATCTTGAAATCTTGAGGTTATCTTGAGATGATTTCGGGGCTTTAGTGTCCCCGCGGCCCGGTCCTCGACCAGGCCTCCTTTTTGTTACACATCCTCAGGAAGCAGCCCGTAGCAGCTGCCATACATATGGTACCGTAGCGTCAGACCTGTGATACATAACGTCATACATATCATACATGACGTGATACATGAGGGTAAAGTTATAGTCCCACTGGGTCTTTCACACACACATTAATCAATGAGGTTAGAAATGAAACTGCTGAATATTGTTGATAAAGTCTATTAGATATTCATAATATAAAACTGTACATGTGTTACAGTAAGAGGGGGGGGGAGGGATAGAAAACGAGAGGCGGGGGGATAGAAAACAAGAGGCGGGGAAATAGAAAACGAGAGGCGGGGGGATAGAAAACGAGAGGCGGAAGATAGAAAACGAGAGGCGGGAGATAGAAAACGAGAGGCGAGAGATAGAAAACGAGAGGCGGGAGATAGAAAACGAGAGGCGGGGAATAGAAAACGAGAGGCGGGGAGATAGAAAACGAGAGGTTAGGGAAAGAGAGTGGTAACGATAGGCTAGAGATGTTATAACTCACCTAAGAGGACAGCCAGACATATATACATTCTTAACAACCGCAGTAATAATAATTCCAATAATAACCATCATAACACAACATTTGAATGGTATAACAGTATGATTGAGCAGAGGTTGTGACCACTCTTGACGGACACAGCGGCATAATGCTTCACGGAGAATTGAGATTGATTGATGAAGATTAAGCCACCCAAGAGGTGGCACGGACATGAATAGCCCGTAAGTGGTGGCCCTTTTGAGCCATCACCAGTATCAATAGATGATACTGGAGATCTGTGGAGGTGCAACTGCACCCTGCGTGACGGGAGATGTCTCCCGTGCATGGAGAATTGCAACCCGTACGAATGTGTCCTCTTACCGCGCGGAAGAACACCCACCTCTCCAAGATGAAGATTAGGCTACCCAAGAGGTGGCACGGGCATGAATAACCCGTGAACCTCTCCAAGATTGATTGATTGATAAAGATTAAGCCACCCGAGAGCCTCTCCAAGGCTTCAACGCCTCTTATATATACCCTCATCCCTTCCTAATGACCTTACGGGCTATTCATGACCGTGCCACCACTTGGGTGGCTTAATCTTCATCAATCAATCAAGCCTAATGACCAGGGAAGCAGTTACGCAAGTACTTACGAACGTGTACATCTTTCCTCAATCTTTGACGGCTTTGGTTACATTTATTAAACAGTTTACAAGCATGAAAACCTCCCAATCAACTGTTGTTATTGTTATAAACAGCCTCCTGGTGCTTCGGAGCTCATTAACTGTTTAATAATTGTAAACAAAGCCGCCAAAGATTGAAAGGTTCGTAAGTGCTTGCGTAACAACTTCGTGAATCTGGCCCCAGGGATAAAATAATTGAGACGGTCATTGAAGGAGCGAACATTACAACACACTGACCAATAGCTGACAGATTTTGGGTGGTTGGAATAAAGGAGAGAAAGAGAGGAATTAGTAGAAATCCTGAATTATTTACTTCCTATTTTGCATATATATAAGCCTGGTATAATTGCATAATATAGAGTATACACCCTACGATATATAGAGTTGTGGAAGAGCCTGTCCTAACCATTAATTCTAAGCAAATACTTCACTTACTGTTGGGCAGATTCATGAAGCAGTTACGCAAGTACTTACGAACGTGTACATCTTTCCTCAATCGTTGACACCTTTGGTCACATTAATTAACCAGTTTACAAACATGAAAACTTCCCAATCAACTGTTGTTATTGTTATAAACAGCCTCCTGGGGCTTCGGAGCTCATTAACTGTTTAATAATTGTAAACAAAGCCGGCAAAGATTGAGAAAAGATGTACAGGTTCGTAAGTGCTTGCGTAACTGCTTCGTGAATCAGGCTCCATAACGGCAGGGATATTATGAGCATTTTCACAGCGGTTTACTACCAGTTTCAACGAGGGACAAAAAAAGGTAGCTGGTGTATAAATTCTTTGGCACGAATGTAAACACAGTATAGGCGTAGGGAACCTAGGCTATTGTTTTTTTGGATTTAGCTACTCTGAACGAAATGTCCATGTAGCACGGGCTATGGCGAGCCCGTAAAATGCCTTGGCTGGTGTTGTGTGGTATATATTGCGATATATACTACACAACACCTGAAGTTGTTGACCCCAATGTTGACACATCTCTATGGTAACCCGTCAGACCAGACGGGATTCATGAAGCATATTATACGCATCCGCTTATCGAAACCAGTGCATCTTTTTTTTAGTTATGGAGGCTTTTGTTACATTTATTAAACATTTAATGAGATCCAAAGCTCAGAAAGTTGTTTCTAATACAATTTACTTTGGGTTGGCAGGTTCTGAAGCTCGTAAAATGTTTAATAAACCTAAACAAAGCAGCAATGATAATGGAAAGATGTTGAGGTTTCATATATGCAAATCCTTGAAGATTCCTAGACCTAAATCCTAACCTAACCGCCCGATGCTCCCGGACGCAGGTTCCTTTCCTCGTCACGGCCCTTGTGGATTTGTCCTAACCTAACCGGTTGAGGACCTAACCCCTTGGGTAAGATCCTCAGCCGGTTTGGCTATTTGCAGTTACATTCTCCAATCATTTTCCTCCCAAGTCACCAATTACTGCTGGACGCAGAGGGACGCTTGGGGGGACCCCGGCGTCCAGTTCTCTGACTCTCCCTAGGGTTCGATCCCCAGTCTTCTCCCTGGCCAGGAGAGTCTGCTGAACATTCCACCGCAGGGTGCCCTTATACACTAGATACACCTGGTCCAGAGCCAAGCGACATCTACATTAAAGATATATTCTCGCGCGTGATTGAAATATACAATGAAGGACTTTATGTTGACCAGACCACACACTAGAAAGTGAAGGGACGACGACGTTTCGGTCCGTCCTGGACCATTCTCACCACAATCGACTTGAGAATGGTCCAGGACGGACCGAAACGTCGTCGTCCCTTCACTTTCTAGTGTGTGGTCTGGTCAACATACTTCAGCCACGTTATTGTGACTCCTCGTCTGCATAAGAACTGTTTATGATAAGATTCCGAAGAGCTCATATAACCATCAACAAAGAAGGAATAGAAACGTTGGAATATCAACAGGACAAACTGCGAGAACTTATTTTATTCCAAAACTTCATCTGGACCTAAACTCAAGCCTTTATATATTATTAGTTATATTAAATCCCACAGACGACACCTCTTGTAACTGTCTTAATCTCTGGGAATTACTAGACAACAAACTTTATTTAGAACACAATATAAATGTATCTATGCAATGCTAAAGAGCTTATATATAACATATATCAGACCAAAGATGATGTATGCAGCGATGGTGTGATTATCCACCCTGGAAGACAAAGAGGAAAAAGTAAACCAATAATTCTTTTCAAACGAATCAAGGTTGAAAAGCCTAAGATAATGAAGCGTTCAGTACCTTCAGGTAAAGCCAAACGACACACTTAAACTAGTCAATCATCTGTAGGGATTTGAGAAAGTTTTTATTCTTAAATTACTTTGTGTACGACTAGATGCACTACAAAAATAGACAGTGTGCTGCAAGATAGAATGTATAAATATTAAATAAACGATTAAAGAAGATGGGTCTCTACGATCTTCAGCTCTGGCCTAACAAAAATGCACACACACACACACACACACACACACACACACACACACACACACACACACACACACACACACACACACACACACACACACACACACACACACACACACACAGTTTCAAACGTACATATAATAGTGCCCAATAGGCTCAGGAACGTGTACACAAGTTGATTAACAGTTGTGAGGCGGGGTCAAAAAGCCCAAGCACAACTAGGAGAGTACATACACACATCCCCTCTATATATATTCAAAAATATATAGACTAGAGGAATAGGAAAGGAATCATTGCATTAGACAACCAGCAACTAGAAAGGTGGAGGCCAGGAGCTAAAGCTCGATCCTGCAAGCACAAACAGGCGAGTAAACAAACACACTCAAACCTCCCCCCCCCCCATTCTCTCACACACAGGAACCTTAATAAATGTGACTACATATATCACCAACGTTTAAAACATGATTCCATCACAAAATTAATTTAAATCTTCACTAAACGACTGACAATGAGTCTTACCAACCGGGCTGAGCAGTGTAAAGGTTAAGCATGATGGCCATAAGTTGGCGTGGAGACACTGTGAAATCACCTCAAGCTGGATCACATGCAATGCTTCATTGTGGAGATTGATTGATGAAGATTAAGCCACCCAAGAGGTGGCACGGGCATGAATAGCCCGTAAGGGTAGCCCTTAATCGTGGAGGCCCGGACGGGAGACATCTCCCGTCACGCAGGGTGCAGTCGCACCTCCACAGATCTCCAGTATCATCTATTGATACTGGTAATGGCTCAAAAGGGCCACCACTTATGGGCTATTCATGCCTAAGCCACCTTTTGGGTGGCTTAATCTTCTCTCTCTCTCTCTCGTGGAGGCCCTAAGGGTAGCTATGTAGGCCTTATCCGTAATCCTAATACTGACTCGGTGTGTTTAATCACACTTAACAACTGATGCTGGTGATTCCTGATGGAATGACACGAGTAACTACTTAGGTAAGAAAACTATGTCTAGAGAGAATGCTCTCCGTTTGCTACTGGAATCATATATATATATATAAGTTGGCCAACACAGTGCATAAATATGCTAAGTGTCCCGAAATAATGTCGTTTTGTGGTTGACATTCAGTATGACTAGAGACTTGCAACTTGGACCGCTGCAGTGTTGTCGGGGAGGTACTAACTGGTGGCAAGATTGCAGCAACATTTATTTGAGCAATATGATGCGATATCTGACGTGCTTCGAAGCTGATTTGCAACTAGTAGACACAGTAGCATGAACAAGAGTGTGGCATACCTATCGGGACAAGGCTGAACATGTAATATGAACTGGTTGAACTGTCGTCAGAAGCCTGGTATATCATGTAATATGAACTGTCTTCAGAAGCCTGGTATATCATGTAATATAAACTGTCTTCAGAAGCCTGGTATATCATGTAATATGAACTGTCTTCAGAAGCCTGGTATATCATGTAATATAAACTGTCTTCAGAAGCCTGGTATATCATGTAATATGAACTGTCTTCAGAAGCCTAGTATGTAAGTTACCTGGATAAGGTCCCATAGTTTAAAATGAGCCAACTGTGAACATCATATCTTATATTGGTATTCCAAGACTCATGCACAGTTTGACATGTTTTATATCACTCGTAGGACAAAAATATATAAGATGCATTTACCAGCAATATTTGTTTTTCTGTTTATATTTGACGGTGCAGTGGGAAGGAGCGGATCCAATCAAATAATTAGGTGCAATTCATCAAGGGAAAAAACTGACATTTTTAGGATTAATTGATCAATCTGATGAATACTTAATATTTATGTTCTCACTGGAAAATGCATCATGTGACCTCGGTACAATTAGTGAAATGGTGGGAAAACACCCACTTTCTTTGCTTTTCATCCGGTTATCTACGTACAAAACTGTTATTACTAATAGCAAATATACAGAATAGACTGCCAAAGAAAAAACTGCTAAAGAAGTATTGCTAAACTTTGCCTGGTATCACAGCTACTGATTATACTCTATAAGCCCTTAAGCTTTAATATCCAAGCACTGCATGAGGCTGTAGTGAAAGCTGACGTGAGATCTATAAGCTTACTACCAGATGAAATGACAAAGAACATTCACCTGTGGAAGCAAGTCTATGCCACTGCAAATGTTCAGTGCTTGTTCTTCATTATATAGTTCGCTTCAATAGTCAGGAGAACAAACAATATCTCCCCAAAAAAGTTATATTTGAATGTGTTCAGAATTGTGCTTAACATTCATCGTGATGAACAATTCATTACTAATTATTTTATTTGTGCAAAATCTGGGTGAAATTTAATGGAATTTATAGTGTAAAATAAAAGTTTTTAACTAATTTATGTGTGGGTGCACGCGTGTGTGTGTGTGTGTGTGTGTGTGTGTGTGTGTGTGTGTGTGTGTGTGTGTGTGTGTGTGTGTGTGTGTGTGTGTGTGTGTGTGTGTGTGTGTGTGTGTGTGTGTGTGTGTGTGTGTGTGTGTGTGTGTGTGTGCAAATATTTTAGGAACCTATCTCATTAGAAAATTAATTACAAGTGCTGAGCAAAGACATCAAACAGCGTCAATTACCCAGCTATTGCTACTGAATTACCTATGTACAAGGCGCCTCCACAAGGTAGGGCGCCGTCGTTTTTTTTCTTAATACGATTCAACAACAATAAAAAATATTAAGTTAATTATAGATGTGACAAAGTGGTCATTATACTTTCCCTTTCAGTCCATCCTCTTCAAATAATAGTACTTATGGCGACTATTTGGACGAAAGGCCAAAAATGAATTGTTGGACGAAAACAAAATTCATGTTTTAATTAAATTAGCTCCGATGGCACTAAGAAATGGCCAAGTAGGACCCCTAACCAAGCCTGTCCAAGCAATCCTAAGACTAATATATGCTAATATAAGCCTAATATATGCTAATATAAGCCTAATATATGCTCATATAAGCCTAATATGGTACATATATGTGCTATACTAGATCTAGGAATGTTTAAGTCAAGTTTTTGGCATATTTGTTTTCGAGCTCTCTACCAAATCATTAATACAAAACGTCGACATTGTTGTTACAACAGTTCATTTTTGTACGTTCAACCAAGTACTTGGTAAAAGCAATATGATTTTTGGAGGATGGGCTGTTCTATTTACCTTGTAATCCTCTCCCAGGTTATATTTATAGAATATAACCATATTCTATACCATCCTGATACATATCAGGCCGGGAAATGTACTGGATCTCTTTAAAATTAACAATCACATACATCGCCTGAAAAAGGTTCGAGACGTTAAGTTTCACATGACCTGAGATCATTATTATTTTCTGAAGATTAGTCAATTAGTATACAATTATTTTCCACAGAAATTGGACTAAACAATATCTCAATAATACACGCGGTACCGGATAGTGAAGACTTTTCCTAGGCCACAAAAGGTGTTAGAGAGGACATCACCCAGCAGTGATATTCTTCAGTAATTTGTACTCTCACATTTCCCCGTTTAATTCACCACACACACACACACACACACACACACACACACACACACACACACACACACACACACACACACACACACACACACACACACACACACACAAAAGGTGAGAAGGTGGTGGAGGCCAAAACCGTCAGTAGTTTCAAAGCGTTATATGACAAAGAGTGCTGGGAAGACGGGACACCACGAGCGTAGCTCTCATCCTGTAACTACACTTAGGTAATTACACTTAGGTAATTACACACACACACACACACACATACACCAGTTCAGTCTCCCAACTGACTATCGTGCAATTTCTGAAGCGAGTTTGCTTAGTTAAAGCGACCAAACTTAGAGATCGCTGCTCCTATAAATGCGTCTTATCCTGCATCAAGTGTGAGGACAGGTTGTTTTACAAGCCTCCCCCCACCCCCACCCCTGTAAGATATTTGGGAACCCTATATTGTAAAGTTTACATTTATTATATATTAAAAAATATTGCAACAACGTAATACTAGTAAATATATAATAAGTACCTGTAGTTACTTTCTGTGTCATTCACGTTAGCTAGAAATATGACTGTATAACCATGGGTGAATTATTGAAACTTTCGATACAAAACACAAATTCCTAATAACATTTTTCTTGAAAACCTAAATAACTTGACATAATATGAGATATGACATTGAAAAATTTGGCATTAAAAGGCACAGTACAAAAAAAAATACAATAAATACATCACATAATACATAAATCACAGAGCCATAATACAAACAAGTTATATAATAAATGTATTCGGCAATATTGATGAAACTCGGATATATAAAGTACAGTGCTTTACGGTTCTCTTGAGCTATATATATACATATATATACATATATATATATATATATATATATATATATATATATATATATATATATATATATACCACTGATGGCCTCAACATTGTCCCTTTGACAATGAGCCCCAAATTTAATAACCTTATTTATTGTCATTTATGACTAGTAATTACAACCAAATAAGATGTTCATTTGTTTTTCACTAAATGGGGTGTTTTTACGTAAAAATAGTGAGGAAATATTCTGTTGTAAGCTGAAATAGATTGCATCTTAAGCATTTAAATTGAGATGTTTTATAGCATATAAATATGAAGTATCAAGATTGATATTAAGCAGTAACTGAAGCAAAACAATTAAATACGGCACTATTGTGCTCTGCTTCAACGGAGCAGCAAATTATTATTTTGAGTAAATGATCATATTTGAGTAAAAGTAAAAATACTATGACAAGCTTCTAGAAAAGGTAAAAACAATAATATTTTAAAATTCAAATAAATAAGTAAATATTTCGTTTGTATTATAATATCTGAAACGTTTGATTTATTATAATAAAACGTTACTAAAATATGCAAGTTAATATACAATTATATTTAAAATTCTTAATAATTTACTGACAGGAGAAACATTTAATAAAATTATGATATTTTGATATTTTTTATGATTTTGATTTCTCAGTATACTGCTGAAATGAAAATACTATATCAAGAATTATATCAATATCTCAGTATGCTGCTGAGTGACACCTATATCAATATATCACTATACTGCTGAGTGAGGCTTATATCAACATCTCAGTATACTGCTGGGTGACGCCTATATCAGTATGTCAGTATACTGCTGGGTGACACCTATATCAATATCTCAGTATACCGCTATAATATCTTAGAAGTACAACATAATACTGTAATGTGCATATAAGATTAAGATTATTAGACAAAGGGACTAATATTATATAGACTATTGCTGCTATTCTGATTGAGTGCTGAAACACTGCCACAGACCACATCTTGTGTGACACAGAATTGACCACATCCTCTATAACACGGTACTGGCCACATCCTCTGTGACACAGAACTGACCACATCCTCTATAACACGGTACTGGCCACATCCTGTGTGACACAGAACTGACCACTTCCTCTATAACACGGTACTGGCCACATCCTCTATAACACGGTACTGGCCACATCCTCTATAACACGGTACTGGCCACATCCTGTGTGACACAGTACTGGCCACATCCTCTATAACACGGTACTGGCCACATCCTGTGTGACACAGTACTGGCCACATCCTCTATAACACGGTACTGGCCACATCCTGTGTGACACAGTACTGGCCACATCCTCTATAACACGGTACTGGCCACATCCTGTGTGACACAGTACTGGCCACATCCTCTATAACACGGTACTGGCCACATCCTCTGTGACACAGTACTGGCCACATCCTCTATAACACGGTACTGGCCACATCCTGTGTGACACAGTACTGGCCACATCCTCTATAACACGGTACTGGCCACATCCTCTATAACACGGTACCGGCTACATCCTGTGTGACACAGTACTGGCCACATCCTCTATAACACGGTACTGGCCACATCCTGTGTGACACAGTACTGGCCACTTCCTCTATAACACGGTACTGGCCACATCCTGTGTGACACAGTACTGGCCACATCCTCTATAACACGGTACTGGCCACATCCTCTGTGACACAGAACTGGCCACATCCTCTATAACACGGTATTGGCCACATCCTCTGTGACACAGAACTGACCACTTCCTCTATAACACGGTACTGGCCACATCCTGTGTGACACAGTACTGGACACATCCTCTGTGACACAGCACACTTCAGATCATAGACTGAGCCACAGCCTATATAATTTGTGGTGCAAAAATGTACTGTTAAGTACAGTGTCTTTACTTAACAAGTGGGTCTTGGTCTACTTACATTTGTCTCTTTAACAAATTGTGACTTTATAAATTTATTTGATCTGCCTATAGAAGAAACTCGCAATAGAGTTAATGGCATTATTTACAAACGTGTTTACAAATTTATCAAGAAAACAAATTTGCTTAAAATTAGAACTTAAATTGGGAAAATTAACAGATGTTATTTACAAGTACATACGGAGTATTAAATAATGTTATTTGCTTGTATACACTGACGTTGATAGTGTTCAAAAATTGAAAGCTAAATTGGTTACAGATATGTTTGTAACTAATGATGGAGATTGGCAATACAGTCTCGCTATAAGTCAGCTGTTTGTACCAATCAACTAAAATTATTATTATTATTATTATTATTTGCATCAAAGATAACTACATATGTAGGCAAAGGTGTTGAATAACATCACTTTTCTGGTGTGTGGTGAAAATGAGCGGAGATCCACTGGGTAGCAGAGTGGCATTGCCTGCTCTTTGTCAGTCCTTGCAAACTGTATCTATTGTTCACATACCAAATGCTAAAGCCATATATATTTCCCTTGTCAATAGCAACTATCAAAATGCAGTCATGACTTGTGTTGCCTTTGAAAACCTGACAAGAATGAAAGTGCTGAAGAAGTTGTCCAAAACCCTTTTTTTTGTGTCATACAAAAATCTATCATTGGTGTAATTATTTTGTGTCCTAGGCTATCATTATTTGAGGCTACTGCCTCGTAATGCTAATGAGTAGAGAAGTAATTAAGTTATATACTGTACTTCCATTGTTTACTGCATTAATAATCAGTAAAAAGATACAATACTAAATTACTTAAATCTCATTTTCATCTTGCAAAAAGCCTAATAGGCACGCAGTAATTGACTTACATTTTGATTGTATTCAATTTTTAATCAATACCTTCCCGATCATTTAAATATTTTACTGACGCACTAAGTATGAAGTCAAGCATATAATGAAAATACTTGGAGCCAAAGAACGCACAATACAGATCATTAACAAAAATAACTTTATTTCAGTTCCAGCAAAAGTCTAGCCCCAAACAATGTGACATAAACAGAACCTCTTGAGCAGTGTAGCCAAATCCAGCTAGTGGATCTCGCCCAGTGACCTTCATGTTGCCCCCTCGACCACCGTTATCTGACCAAGCCACCTAACTTGGCAACTCTGGAACATCAGGTACGCTTCTTGTTCCAACATTTCTTGCGAGGAAGACCCAGCCTAAGGAGGTGAGTCTCCTCTTCGGCCTCTACCTCGGGGCTCTTTAGGAAGCTGGGAGCGACACACAGGCCTACGATGGTCACCGCTGGGGGGAGGAAAGGTTGTTGTTGTTGTTATAGATTCAGCTACTCGGTACAATTTCCAAGTAGCACGGGCTATGGTGAGCCCGTAACTTACCTGGCACAGGAGCGGGGCAAGTAGCACGGGCTATGGTGAAATCGTAACTTACCTGGCACAGGAGCGGGGCAAGAAGCACGGGCTATGGTGAGCCCGTAACTTACCTGGCACAGGAGCGGGGCAAGAAGCACGGGCTATGGTGAGCCCGTAACTTACCTGGCACAGGAGCGGGGCAAGTAGCACGGGCTATGGTGAACCCGTAACTTACCTGGCACAGGAGCGGGGCAAGAAGCACGGGCTATGGTGAGCCCGTAACTTACCTGGCACAGGAGCGGGGCAAGAAGCACGGGCTATGGTGAGCCCGTAACTTACCTGGCACAGGAGCGGGGCAAGAAGCACGGGCTATGGTTAGCCGGTGGAAAGGAGGCATTAGTCACTTTCTTTCATGGCAACGATTATGAAAATACTTTTAGGAATTAAATTACAAAGGTATTTAAGTACATTGGTGTACACAATGTCAAACCTGCTGTTATTTAATCACACTATATCTGCCTCTGAAGATGTTGAAGAGAGCTTCAGCGAAACACGTCCTACAGCGACAATTCTTAATAAAATGTTATATCCAAATTTAGAGAGTAAATTTTTAAACTCCTTCCCAAGTAAACAAAATAAAACAAGTGATATTCATAAGGTTTGTGCCAGACTAATTTATCTAACGCCTTACGGCCAGAGTCCATAAGACATGTTTAAACGTAAGGGTCAATCCCAAACACAGATATTTATATTTATCTCAACAATAACTCTGATGGTTCCTCATGGATTCGAACCTAGGCTGCTGGTTGACGCCCTGGCGGCTTAAGTTCGATTCATTGTGACCTTTTTGAAACCAAGTTTGTAATTCATTTGTGTTATAAAGCTTAATAGATACATATTGTGGATCATGCCATTAATATAATCCGTGTCATAGATCTATATATATATATATATATATATATATATATATATATATATATATATATGTATATATATATTGCAAACAGTATTATATATACAGTACTGCAAACCACATTAGCTGGGACAATAACATTCATTCCATTAGATCATTGTAGAACTGAACTCAGGTCTGCAAAAGATCCTGGCCTGGCTAACAAAGCAACAGCTTCGTGTTTTACAGCGTCGAATTCAATCCCCCGAAGATCCCAGAGAATGAATGTTATTGTCCAAGTTATTGTGGATATTCTTGGGGAGGGAGAAGGGGGGGAGGGGAATAGGCCACAACTGAAGTGGTATTTAAAGGTGAGGCGGGTCTTAAAGCCGACAAACAGTGTGGTATTTGAAGCTTACACTTCCAATTCCCCAAATGGGAAGACCGACAGCAAGAGGGCAGGAGGGAGAGGGAGGGAGAGAGAGAGAGAGAGACAGACAGAGAGAGAGAGACAGACAGAGAGAGAGAGACAGACAGAGAGAGAGAGACAGACAGAGAGAGAGAGACAGCCAGACAGGTAGCTACCATCAATTCTATTCTATAACACAACCACTAAATCTTCTCCACAGCACTACCACTAACTCTACTCTCCAACACTACCACTAACTCTACTCTCCAACACTACCACTAACTCTACTCTCCAACACTCAATCATAGCAGAAAACAGACGGCCGGAAACAAAATAGAAGCAGTAGAGTTAAATAATGTTTGATCTCTGTTAATAAATATAATAAAGGATACTAAAATCTACAAAAGATAATAATAAAAAAAGATAATCCATTTCTCTGATGAGAACACACAAAATTTGGAAATAAAACGATTGTAACACTAAAAATAAATCCCTAAATTATGTTCCGGTGAATTGACTCATTGATCAAGCCTAGCTGAATTAAAAAAAAGTTAACTGGTCAGTCCAAAAACAGAACACAAATGGCAAGCGCACCATTCTGCTTGCCACATTAGATTCAGCCAAAATAATCACCACCAAACACTGTTCTGCAAAAACAAAGGGACGCGCACTCGTAAAGTCAATAGTAAATCGGAAAATACTGCCGGACACAGCCAGCAGGGCGAAGGCAAGGTTATCCTCGTGTGGCTGGCGAGGCCTCTTATTTGTTATGGTGGCAGCGGTGGGATTTAACCCATGTTGGATAACTTTGTGTTATGGTGGCAGCGGTGGGATTTAACCCATGTTGGGTAACTTTGTGTTATGGTGGCAGCGGTGGGATTTAACCCGTGTTGGATAACTTTGTGTTATGGTGGCAGCGGTGGGATTTAACCCGTGTTGGGTAACTTTGTGTTATGGTGGCAGCGGTGGGATTTAACCCGTGTTGGGTAACTTTGTGTTATGGTGGCAGCGGTGGGATTTAACCCATGTTGGGTAACTTTGTGTTATGGTGGCAGCGGTGGGATTTAACCCGTGTTGGATAACTTTGTGTTATGGTGGCAGCGGTGGGATTTAACCCATGTTGGGTAACTTTGTGTTATGGTGGCAGCGGTGGGATTTAACCCGTGTTGGGTAACTTTGTGTTATGGTGGCAGCGGTGGGATTTAACCCGTGTTGGGTAACTTTGTGTTATGGTGGCAGCGGTGTGATTTAACCCGTGTTGGATAACTTTGTGTTATGGTGGCAGCGGTGGGATTTAACCCGTGTTGGGTAACTTTGTGTTATGGTGGCAGCGGTGGGATTTAACCCGTGTTGGATAACTTTGTGTTATGGTGGCAGCGGTGGGATTTAACCCATGTTGGGTAACTTTGTGTTATGGTGTATGTTGGTATACCAACACTCACCTGCAATTGCGACGGGGAAGAGTGTGTAGAAGTTGATGGGCGCAGTACGGTACCACAGTGTCTCTGTACCGTTGGCGGCGATCGTCAGCAAGCAGCTACACACCGCCATACTCAGGATCCTGCAATGGAAGGTGGGTATGGTAGTTTTCCCTTCATGGTAATAACATGATGACATGTTACTCACTTACTCCTACCATGGTGATATTCCTACCACATGTTACTCCTACCATGATGGCATATGCTACCATGATCACAGGAACCTGGGTGTAAACGTAATCCCAATGTTCATAAAAATGAACAGACACAAGGCTCTGAACTATATAGACTCAGGTCCCTCAAGTCTTCCACACGAAGTGGGTCACAAAACAATCAGGTGAGAGTTGCAGCCTTGCTTCTGTGCCAGGTAAGTCCACTACGGGCTCACCATAGCCCGTGCTACTTGGAACATTTGGTTCCCAGCAGCTGAGTCTATAACAACAACAACAATCAGGTTAAGAATGGCAAAGCATCTAAAGAGGAACAACTTTGCAACGAAAGGTCACCATGGAGTCAGAATGGTGAAGTTAGTGTCTGCCAACCTTTAATGGAGTTCATCGGCAGATTAAATACCACAAGACTGCATAGACTGTAGTTTCTTAAGATTGTCAAAATACACTTGAGGCTGTTCCTCAGGAAAGACTGGAGTACAAGAAGAAGAAGCCGCTGGGATAACTGGGGGAAGATACTCAACTGGGTAAGGGAGTACCTGAAGGACTGACAACAGATGATGACGTTTGTGAGGAACTCAATAAAAGATTTCAGAATGTTTTTTGTATTAGAAACATCATATGGTGACCAACGTTATGGGATGAAAAGCCAGAAGAAACAATGGATGACATTTTCCCTAGCGTATCAAAAAGTATTTGATACTGTTCATGGAAAACTCTCATAGAAGAAGGAGAGACAGGCTGGGAAAACACTAAACTGGGTAAGGGAGTACCTGAAGGACAGAAAACAAAGAGTCAGAGACGAGGTCTCAAGCTGGAGGAATGTAACAAGTGGGGTCCCACAAGGCTCTGTCCTTGGACCACTGCTGTTCCTAATGTATGTGAACGACCAGCCCGAGGGAATGATCTGCTTGATTTCTCACATGTCGATGTTTGCAGACGACACAAAGCTGATGAGGAATATACAAAAAAAGAGGACTGCAGGAAGTTACAGGAGGACCTTGACAAACTCCAGAAGTGGTCAAACAAATGGATGCTGGAATTCAATCCTAACAAGTGTAAGGTAATGAGGATGGGAAAGGGAGAGAGGAGACCAGGAGACATCTACATTGAGAGGTACACATAAACAGGGCAACATCAGCATCATATGGGACGCTGGCAAATAATATTTTAAACGTAGTTTAGAAACCAAAATCAGGACTCTTTCAAGGCAATCTGCTCAGCCTTTCTTCATCCAATATTGGAATGTGCAGCACTGACCTGGAACCCGAGGCTAATGAAGCATAACACAAAATTTGCACACACACACACACACACACACACACACACACACACACACACACACACACACACACACACACACACACACACACACACACACACACACACACACACTCACCACAACACACACACACACACACACCACAAAACACACACACACACACACACACACACACACACACACACACACACACACACACACACACACACACACACACACACACACACACACACACACACACACACACACACACACACACACACACACACACACACACACACACACAACACACACACCACAACACAACAAGGGGTTGAGGATACAAGACAAGCGAGACACTATTGACTTGCGACCCGCAAATCGACGCGTGGGAACGAACACCCGCCTTAAGAATACCAAAAAGACTTCTCAGCGATGGAACATGTCCCGTAATTCACGTAAGCAATATTAAAGTTGGTGTATCAGCCCAGGATCACACTCCGGACCACAGACGATCAAAATAAATGATCTTGTACGTAGAGATGAAAACCAAATTAGACAGGCAGGCGAACAGACAGACAGGACAGGCAAAAAGGTGAGGTCATCTCATTCCTGTCTCTATATCTATCACTACTGAATTCTATGTCCGCCCTTTTGAGGCAGACAGACGTAGCCTGTCTGTCTAAGCCTGTCTGCCACAAACACTTGTGGCAGACAGGAATATATGTAGACAGACATACAACCTGACAGCAAGCTAAGCAGATATACCGACAAGAGACAACTGATATACATAATATACAGTGACAGGTATACAGACACACACGCTTTCTGTCTGAAAAGTTGACAGGCATGCATGTAGTCACATACAGGTATAAATCTTGTCGAGAGACAGATAAACAGACAGGTGTGTATGTGTGTGAGGGAGAGAGAGTCAGAGAGACAGAGACAGACAAAGAGACAGAGAGACACAGATAGAGAGAGAGAGAGAGAAGCAGAGAAACGGAGAGACAGAGAGAGACACACACACACAGAGACACAGAGATTGAGACACAGAGAAAGAAACCCACACAGAGAGAGAGAGAGAGAGAGAGAGAGAGACAGAGAGAGAGAGAGAAACAATACTCACGGTTTATGATGAATACAGAGGGCACAATGAGTCATGATGAGAGCGCTGAGTATCCGATGAGTCCCCAGTAGCCGCGACATAGCCGGGTTCACTGTAACAGCCCAACACACACACCTTTACTCATCAACCTCTAAAACAATCATCAACAATGCAAGTCATTAAGAATCGTTCATAGAATCCTATCAACGTCATTTCTTGTTCAAATATCAGAAATTTAAGAGTATTAAATGCAAAAGAACAGTGTCAAGGGCTTTCTGGCAGTCCAGGAAAATGCAGTCTACCCCGCCATCTCTTGTTTGATTGGCGTCATCTTGGCACAAATCGACGAGTCTTCTCTTGGTCAGTCTCTCTAATGTCTTAAAGGGAATACTTGTTAGTAATACAGGGTGGGAAGCAGTTATCAGGGGAAAGCGCCATGTCATTACGACTATATAGCACTGGGAAGGGGTCAGGATTTGGGTTGGGACGGGGGGAAGGAATGGTCATGCACTTGGACGGTCGGGGATTGAACGCCGACCTGCATGAAGCGAGACCGTCACTCTACCGTCCAGCCCAAGTGGTTGAGTGAACCCGGACTGTGGTCGATTTGTTCATGTCTTCCTCGTCTCTTGTATACAGATAACATATTAGCCACTTTCAAAATGTCAGGTAGTTCCCTCCATTTCCTGCCCAACCACTTCGACTGGACGGTAGAGCGCCGGTCTCTCCCCCTACTAGCAAGTTGGCATTCAATCTGAACCACTCCAGTACCCCATGGCTGGGACCCACGTATAGAACAATCAATGAAATGACCGAAACTGATGATGTACAATAATGACGATGGAATGTCGAACAAAGCGGATGAACTGAAAGAAAGACCCGTGTGTACTCACCTATTTGTGTTGTTGCGGGGGTTGAGCTTTGGCTCTTTGGTCCCGCCTCTCAACTGTCAATCAACTGGTGTACAGGTTCCTGAGCCTACTGGGCTCTATCATATCTACACTTGAAACTGTGTATGGAGTCAGCCTCCACCACATCACTGCCTAATGCATTCCATCCGTTAACTACTCTGACACTGAAAAAGTTCCTTCTAACGTCTCTGTGGCTCATGTGGGTACTCAGTTTCCACCTGTGTCCCCTTGTTCGCGTCCCGCCAGTGTTGAATAGTTCATCCTTGTTTACCCGGTCGATTCCTCTGAGGATTTTGTAGGTTGTGATCATGTCCCCCCTTACTCTTCTGTCTTCCAGTGTCGTAAGGTGCATTTCCCTCAAGGTGTGTGTGTGTATGTGTGTGTGTAATGGCTCAGTTCGTTCATACCTCATATTATATTACAGGTATATTTAAAACTGTTGAGTTTGCTTTAACAATTTACAGCCACCTAGCTACAGGGTGCCTGACAGCTGGGTGGACAGCGCTTCGGATTCGTAGTCCTGAGGTTCCGGGTTCGATCCCCGGTGGAGGCGGAGACAAATGAGCAAAATGTTTCTTTCACCCTGATGCCCCTGTTACCTAGCAGTAAGTAGATACCTGGAAGTTAGATAGCTGCTACGAGTTGCTTCCTGGGGGGGTGGGTGTAACAAATAGGAGGCCTGGTCGAGGACCGGGCCGCGGGGACGCTAAGCCCCGAAATCATCCCCAGTTTCATCTGCTTGGAAATCTTCCCCCAAGTTCTTCAACTGTCCCCGTCGTCCCACTGTTCCTCATTCTGTTATTCGTCCACCATGCCGATCTCCCTCAAAATTTAGTATGTCGTTGTCATGTCTCTCTGCCGCTCCTTTTCTCAAGTGTGGCGAGTTTGCTGAGTCTTTCACTGACGCTCATTTCTAAGACCATTCTACAATTTTCTCCAAGTCATCCTGGGGCGAGATTCACGAAGCAGTTGCGCAAGCACTTACGAACGTGTACATCTTTCCTCAATCTTTGACGGCTTTGGTTACATTTATTAAGCAGTTTCCAAGCATGAAAACTAATGAATCTACTGTTGTTATTGTTATAAACAGCCTCCTGGTGCTTCGGAGCTCATTAACTGTTTAATATTTGTAAACAAAGCCGCCAAAAATTTAGAAAAAATGTACAGGTTCGTAGTGCTTGCGTAACAGCTTCGTGAATCTGGTCTCTGGCGTTCTCCATTTGGTTTATCTTCCTCATAATGTATATCTTACCTTGAGGTGTTTCCGGGGCTTAGCGTCCCCACGGCCCGGTTGTCGACCAGGCCTCCTGGTTGCTGGACTGATCAACCAGGCTGTTAGACGCGGCTGCTCGCAGCCTGACGTATGAGTCACAGCCTGGTTGATCAGGTATATCTTAACCACAAACGTTGAGCGATCGGAGTGTATGTTCTCTGATACACCAAACACATACAGGAGGTGAACAAATCCACAAGGGCCGTGACGAAGATTCGAACCTGCGTCCGAGAGCATCCCAGACGCTGCCTTAATCGACAGCAAGACTGCCTTAATCTTAAGGCAGCGTCTGGGATGCTCTCGGACGCAGGTTCGAATCCTCGTCACGGCCCTTGTGGATTTGTTCATTTGATGCATCAGAGGTCTGGGCCAAGCACTGGCTCTTCGAAATTGAAATTGAAATAAGTTTATTGAGGTAAAATACACACAAAGGGATGAGGTAGCTCAAGCTATTCTCACCCCGTTCAGTACATCGTGTTAATACATGCATATAAACACATCACAAGCAGTAAACATATTATCAAACATTCTCAGAGATAAACATTTACATTTCCTAGCACTGGCTCTTGTGGCAGACGAGCTGGCAACATGCCGCCACTCTTAAGTCACAGAGGAACTCCTTGAGTCACTGAAGCACCTTCCCTCTCACTCCTGCCTCGCTTCTCTAGTCTGTCTAGACCTCTCATTTCAGGGTTCGGCGTCGATGCCTTTGTAGCAGTCCAGTCTTCCCCAAGACTATGCCAGGGTAGCAAGTGCGGGACACCTGCCTGTTGTTTAGACCCGCCTGTCTACTTTGTTTGGGGTGTGTGTGTGTGTCTTGACGTATGTATTTGCTGTCTTCAAACTCTCTGGTAGTTCACCTGTTTCAAGCGATTTGATACGTGTTATTTTGTATCGTAATTGGCAAGCACAAAGGGCTAGATTCACGAAAGTACTTACGCAAGCACTTACTAACGTGTACATCTTTCCTCAAACTTAGACGGCTTTGGTTACATTTATTAAACAGTTTACAAGCATGAAAACTTGCCATTCAATTGTTGTTATTGTTATAAACAGCCTCCTGGTGCTTCGGAGCTCATTTACTGTTTAATAATTGTAAACAAAGCCGCCAAAGATTGAGAAAAGATGTACAGGTTCGTAAGTGCTTGCGTAAGTACTTTACGAAAGTAAAGTACTTTCACGTAAGTAAGTACTTACGTGAATCGTAAGTACTTACGAAAGTACTTACGATTCACGAAAGCCATCTTAGTATCCTGAAGCCAGCCTCCCAGATCACTCTGACAATGCTATATGGCTATAGACACATCTGGCAGGTTAGTGAGGTTGAGCCACTACCAGAATACTCAGATTGTAAACTCTGTGATAAACCTTTAATGCATTCACTAGAACACTATATTGTTGAATGTGAAACCGTAAAGGACTTTAGACCTCCTGGTCTCTTGTACCACCAACTGTGTAACTATTTTATTGCTCAATGCTCAACCCAACAAGGCCTAACACGACCCTACCAGCTCTCATACTCTAATGAGTTATGAAGGTAATTCCGGCCATAAGATATGACCAGGCTAAGATGGCTCACTCGGACACAAGCACCACAACACAAGACAAATTTCACCTGTTTTCCTGCATTCCCAAACTTTGTGGCGTCTCAAGGTCTAACTTCTTAATTGTTGTTAGAATATGTTCTTCTAAAAATATATATTTTGGCCCAGTTTATGCATTGGAAACGTGTTGACACGTGTCAGATGTTTGTGACACCGGTGGAGGTGTTGTTTGTGACACTATATATATATATATATATATATATATATATATATATATATATATATATATATATATATATATATATATATATATATATATATATATATAATGTCTATAACAATCAAGTTAAGGGCAGCCAGTTGACATCCACTTGACTCTGGCAAGTGCCGTCAGAGGGCCAGGGGGCCGCCGTGGGGGGGGGGGGGGTTGCCATGAAGACGGCTATTGCCACTAATGGCGCCATATGTCATCAAAGTTACTGGCGGACCATATCTCCTTTTTACTCGCTTTTTCCAGTTGAGATTTTAACCACTTTCCCGGTCATACGAGGCTATTCAACTGAAAGGTTGTTATACATTTGGGGTGAGAGCTGTTTACGGCAGGGTGGGATTTGGGTTACTACTTGGGGGATTGAACGCCGACCTGCATGAAGCGAGGAAATCGTAAGTTCTATCACTCCCTGCATCCATCCTTATCCCTGACATCCTTAACCTTATAGTCACTCTCTCTATCCATCTCAATCCCAGACATCCTTAACCTTATAGTCACTCTCTCTATCCATCTCAATCCCAGACATCCTTAACCTTATAGTCACTCTCTCCATCCATCTCAATCCCAGACATCCTTAACCTTATAGTCACTCTCTCCATCCATCTCAATCCTAGACATCCTCCACCCTACAGTCACTCTTACCATCCATCCCTACCCCAAACATCCTCCACGCTATCGCCATGAGCAGCATCCGCAGCATCTGTGATCCTTGGCATCTTGGAGCATCCTTCACCGCTGGCACCAGCCCAACATCCTGTACTGCCTCCATCACTCACCCCAGACCTGCTCTATCTCACCCCCTCCCCACCCCCACCACCCCCCACAACCCACACCTGCTGGTAAGAAAACCGGTTCTGAAGCACAAGGTGCTGGCTGGAGAACTTGTATAGTGTGCAGGAAGGGGGCAGTGTCCTCACGGAGACTAGACACTATAGCAAGAGCTAGTCCAAGATCATTACTTACCTAAGTGTTTAAGCTGGAGTGACGTCCAGCTCTGCATGTCCCGTCTGCCCTCTGTAGTCTTGTGGAAAGTGATAACCAAGAGAGAGGAAGACAAGGAGAGAGGAGTCATAGAGAGCTAGTCTCTCCCCACCGGTGTAGAATTCAATGGTGTACCCTGGTGTACCCTGGGGTGTACCCTGGTGTACCATGGGGTGTACTGGTGTACCATGGGGGTGTCCTAGGGGTGTGTGGTGGGAGGACGCCGGGAAGGCCGCCTGTGTAAATATGAAACTTTCAATATCAAGGAGTGAAAGGGGGAGGAATTCGTGCAGCTCCGCTCCTTCAGCACGGGGTAAAGGCTCCGTCAACACTCCCATGTAAATACCTGTAACTCCTCGGTGTGTGGCTGTGGGAGGGGAAAGAGAGAGAGAGAGAGAGAGAGAGAGAGAGAGAGAGAGAGAGAGAGAGAGAGAGAGAGAGAGAGAGAGAGAGAGAGAGAGAGAGAGAGAGAGAGAGAGAGAGAGAGAGAGAGAGAGGAGGATAGACAGACAGAGACGTAGGTAGACAGGCAGGGTATTCAGTTATAATCATTTGTTCCACCAGGTTTGAGGCCTATCAAACAATCTTAATTTTCAACCATGTCAGTAGCTCTAAGTATCTTGTATGTTGTGCTTATGTCTCATCTGGATCTTCATTCCTCGAGCGTTTGTGAGATTAGGCTATTTAAAGCCTTGCCTCATATCTCAGCCCTCTTATATCTGGAGCTTAATATGCTGGAGAAGGTGGAGCTGTGTCTTCCTGCTCCCGAAAAGATATCTTTGTCTAGCTACCTGAAGGATGACCTTATGGGGTCACTGGGGGTCAAACATCCCTCCCCTGAAGATTCCCCTCTATGGGTCAAAACTATCTTCCTCTTGGCTAGTAGGCCGCTATACCCATCTCCTTTCATATTTTTCTCGTTATCTTGCATTTACTGGGAGTTTAACTCTATTAGCCACTTGTCAGAAAATCCTGCAGATTGCCCACAACTTGAAGGATTATAGTCATAGGAGCTCTTCAAGCCGCCTCGTCCACCTAAGGTTCCCCAACGTCAAGAAACTGTCGTACTAAATCGCCCTTCATCCTAACCTACCAGAGGACCCAAAACAGAAAACGGGATAGTATGTCAATTTCGCCAGCAGCTTCCATTTTCTAGTACGACGATTTTTGGGCCTTAGGTAGAGTGTACGTCAAAAATGCGACGTTGTGTTAGGAGAACCGGTTGCTTCAAGACAAGGGTTGAGGCTACGAGTCATGAGAGCTCTTGAAGACAGGAGAAGAGTCAGAAGAACTACTCAAAAGTTAACAGGTATTTCTTGTCACGAGATATGTTGGCGCCTGAGGTGCGAGGCTTGATAACTTGTAAGTGAGAGACACTACACCTGGGGCCAGATTCACATAAGTACTTACGCAAGCACTTACGAACCTGTACATCTTTACTCAATCTTTGGCGGCTTTGTTTACAATTATTAAACAGTTAATGAGCTCCGAAGCACCAGGAGGCTGTTTATAACAATAACAACAGTTGATTGGCAAGTTTTCATGCTTGTAAACTGATTAATGAATGTAACCAAAGCCGTCAAAGATTGAGAAAAGATGTACACGTTCGTAAGTACTTGCGTAAATGCTTCGTGAATCTGGCCCCTGGTCACTACAGACAGACAGACACCACCTGGTGACCAGACTGTAAGGCAAGCACCACACTACCACAACGACTACCACCACAGCACCACTACCACCACCACCACCACAGTAACTAACCCCAACAATTACAGCAGCACCTACACAGAGCCCAACCGCAACCCGTTCTCGCACTTGTTTACTATCAATATTGGCTTATTTAATAAGTGCATATGTGACATGCTAATTAGTTGTGAATATTTTAGTTTACCTTGAAAAGCTTCATAGAAAACACCGACCTCACCTAACCTTCTTAGTATGTTAAAATAAGCATCTTATTGCTTCTTATTTACAATTATTACTTAATCTATCAACAGTATAGGTTCTGAGAACGGGTTGCCAACCACCACAACACATTGGCCAGATTCACGAAGCAGTTACGCAAGTACTTACGAACCTGTACATCTTTTCTCAATCTTTGACTGCTTTGTTTCCAATTATTAAACAGTTAATGAGCTCCGAAGCACCAGGAGGCTGTTTATAACAATAACAACAGTTGATTGGCAAGTTTTCATGCTTGTAAACTGTTTAATAAATGTAACCAAAGCCGTCAAAGATTGAGGAAAGATGTACACGTTCGTAAGTGCTTGCGTAACTGCTTCGTGAATCTGTGTCGAAGCCCTGAGTGTATATATGCTGGTTAGCACTGTAAATATGTGGCCACATCTGTGGTAGAAAATAATAACAAAAATGAATAATTACAAATTAAACTACTACACAAATACAATTATTACTATATGTCTGAAGTGTTACTTGATGTACTTGTGCTACACAGTAGTGTACACCCCCCACCCCAAGGGGGGGGGGGGGTTTACACAACATTGTAAACTAGGGTTCGAACCTGTACCGTGGCCCCGGGCACCGCCGGGTACTCCCATGCACACATCCTGCTTTACACACACTGCAAATGGATAAACAAATAAAAATATATAAATAAATACACAACTCAATAAAAGTAAAATATATGCAACAGAAATTTTTTTATTAAATCGACAAACTCAAAAAATTACCAAATGTAATAAAAAAAAATAATAATAATTGCAATATATAAATGAGCATGTGTGTGTGTGTGTTTTACTCGCGTAGTTGCGGAGGTTGAGCTTCAGCTCTTTGGTCCCGCCTCTCAACTGTCAATCAACTGGTGTACAGGTTCCTGAGCCTACTGGGCTCTTGTCATATTTACATTTGAAACTGTGTATGGAGTCAGCCTCCACCACATCACTGCCTAGTGCAGCTTACAAAAAAAGACTGAGGAAAGGACTATAGTTTGTGGCAGGACGACCTTGACAGCAGGAAGGTGGCTGTTAGAGTTCAACCACAGCAAGTGTGAAGTAATAATGACAGGAGACCAAAGGGAATCTCCTCAATACATAGAAGGCAACAACTGGAATCAGAAAGAATTTTTGGTGTGAATTTGCGACACCAGAGGCACACAGGACGCAAGATAGCAGGGCAGGATAACAGGGCAGGATAACAGGGCAAGATAGCAGGGCAAGATAACAGGACAAGCGTAAACGAAATCTAACAATTATGAAGAATTTTGTCTGAATTTAGAGGACAAGGTCACGAGGATATCTGTGGAAGCTGGAAACACAGATAACCTGAATAAATGTAAAGAAATATTCGTACACCACACAGACAGACTTCGAGAAAGAAATCGTACACCTTGAGAGAATTAAGAGGTACCACAAGGCATATATGTACACCTAGAGGGAACTCCGGTGAGTACCCTGGAGTGACCACGGGGCCCCTCACTCCTCCAGCAGCAAGCCCAATCACACCCAACTGTGACCGAGTTATTATTATTAACATCTTTATTGACAAATTAATTACAATTTTGCCTAATCTGAGAATTTTGATAGTCTTATTAAATTGAGGTTAATGCTAGTATTCACTGTCACGCAGGACAGAGGGTCATACATAAGACAATAGGTCTAAACTGTAGGCTGAAGCACATATATATCATGGTTACAATCAATGTTTTAATGTGTGAATATGTGACAACAACTTTCTATTGTGCACTGCCACACAAGGGCAGGGATGGGTTCATAAGTGATGCAGCTTAGAGTATAAATAGAAATTGTTCTTCATTCTTTAAAATGGACAAGCAAATTTTGGGTAAATTGTTAGGATGTCGTCCAGAACACCTGAGTCAATAAAATAGTTACACAGTTGGTGGTACAATAGGCCAGGAGGTCTAAAGTCCTTTACGGTTTCACATTCATCAATATAGTGTTCTAGTGAGTGCATTAAAGGTTTATCACAGAGTTTACAATCTGAATATTCTGGTAGTGGCTCAGCCTCACTAACCTGCCAGATGTGTCTATAGCCAAGGCGAATTCGCGCAATTACTACATCACATTGCCTGGTCCGGTTACTGTGCTGACCATACAAATACCTATTATTACAGAACTTGTCATAACTTTTAATACTGCAGCTTTCAGGTCTCTGTGCATTTCTTAGTTCTTCTAAATCTGAATTAATTTCTTTAATTTGTATGTTTCTAATAACTGCATTAGATAGTCCAAAGTCATAATCATTGATTATGACTTTGTGACCGAGTGCACCAATAACGCAGAGCTCGGCGTCCGCCCCCAGACACGAGGATATTGTGTCCTCTGGCACCACACATTCTCCAGTGGCGGATTTTAACAATGGGTTTCCGCGCCTGAGTCCGCATGACTATTCCTCTCTCCCTCCCTACCTCCCTCCCTTCACAGACTGCCCTCCCTCCCTCCCTCCCTTCACAGACTGCCCTCTCTCCCTCCCTACCTCCTTCACAGACTGCCCTCCCTCCCTCCGTCACTCCACGCCTGCCAGAGAGCCCGTAGCCTAGGGCACTGGAGCGGCGGTCTGCCTGAATCATTCTTTATTTCAGGTTTGGTTGGTTGGTGTGACGTCCCAGCTGGCCCAGGAGGTCCCAGCTGGCCCAGGAGGTCCCAGCTGGCCCAGGAGGTCCCAGCTGGAGTCAGTCCCAGCTGGAGGCCCGGTGGTAGGTAGCAGGGAAGGTCATTTATATTAAAATTACGTTTGTTTTCTAATTTCATATAACAAATTGGACAGAAATGACGAATTTTTGGGTGTTGTGATGTAGTGGTGTGG